TGTTTTTTTCTATCAAACCCTGTAAAGGAATATTTATAAGAAATAATGTTTTTTTTTGTATGTGTATGTGTGTGTTTATTGGTATAACGTATTGTGTTGTTATCTTATTCATGGGATAAGGGTAGTTTTCATTTTATCTTCCCTTTTTCAAGAGTCAAGGATACCGTTTGAGAAACTTTGTTATTTCACAAGAAGATAATATTGTGTCCAATGGGTGGATTGGGTCTTGAGAGATTCTTGACGAATGGTTCTGGGTGGTGTCAAGATTATGTAGTTGTTGTTTTAGGTTGAAATTTGACAATTTTCATTATCAAAATGAAATTGAATTAAATTTAGGATATGGAATTAAGTACTTAGAAAAATGATTTTTTCTAATATCGAAAAATACTTTTTAATATTTAAAAAAATATTATTAAAATAAATATCTCTTGCAATAAATAAATTTTACATAAAATACTATTTCAAAAGACTATAAATCAAGTATTGTACATTTTTATAAATCATAATTTTAACAGCATTGAACAACTAAAAGAAAAATAAAAGAAATTGATGCAATTTTTTATCTTAATAAAAATTTGTATTTGTATTTTTGTAAAATAGAATAATGGAAAACACTCTGTGGATTTAACAACCCTTTTCAATCATCTTACAACTAACTATTAATGCCTGTCAAATATTTTTGTAAGATGAATGCCAAATATTCAAGTAACCTTCGTGATACTAATAGCTTCAAAGTCAAAAGACGAGATCGAACACACAAGCACACACACACATACACACACACACACACACACACATATAAATATATCTAAACAGGTATGCATATATTTTTGAACGATATCGATGATACTTCACTTGTAAAATCGAGAGACGAGACGTTTGAAAAATAAGTCCTCGATATAGAATCGATCTCCTTCTCTCTCTCTCTCTTTCTCTTAACTCTTCTCGAGCTGTCAATCGATCAATTTTACGACAGGTAAAACTACCTGAAACGTTTGGCGTTAGTTAAGACGTTCATAAAAAAACTCGAAAATACACTTGCTATCGAATTCTTAATAAACTTGAACTAAATTAAACCTACCTGTATCTATATAATATTGTATAATATTATACAAAGTGATTCTTAACCTTTTAGGCACGGCTGAATTTTGCGCGGAGCTRTTTCTCTGTATGGCAGGGTTCAACAGACAATGTCGTTCTCTACGCGAGTACATTAAAATAAAGTATTTAATGATTAAATTATAATTTTTCTTTAAAATATATTGCATATACTTTAACTTTAACAATTTACTTTAATAATTAATAATACAATTAGGTATGATATATTTTAAAAAATGTCATCCGCAAAAACCACTATAGTAACGCGTCGTACTGGAAGATGGCATCCGTGGAAGTCACTATAGTGGCGCGTAGCGCCTAAGAGGTTAATTAACAATTCTCATTCAATATTTTATACAGTATATTACAAAATTTTATACAATATATAAAATATATTATATAATACATAAAAATTGAAAAAATAATCAATCTCATTTTTGATACATCAATATTTTCTTTATATTAGTATCATAATTGTGCTCATAATTATTAAAGTAATTAAAATAAATAAAAAAGATATTTTTTATTATTTATTATTTATTAATATTAAAAGAAAAAACAAAAAAAAAAGAAACAAAAATCTTACATAATTATTCCAAATATTCTATTAGCAATAACCCATAAGACATTTATCCAAATAAATTAAATAACTATCCTGCTACCTTTAAAATATTAATAAATATAATTAAATATAAATATATTAATAAGTATTAATTTAATAAATTATTATTAAAATATCATATATAATAATTTTAATATAATTATTTCAAATATTCTATAAATGAACAAACATTCCTACTACCTTTTGCAATATTAATAAATATAAATATAAAGAAAATAAATATTAAAATAAAAAAAAAAGAAACAAAGAAAACCTTTATACATAATTATTTCAACTATTCGTAATAATATGAACGATAAATAAATTCCAGGTAGTTGCTTTTACGCCTAGCCCTGCACACCCTTTCCCTGACATCCCCCCCACCCTATAGTCATCCCCATATCACCGTCACCATATCCACGTGCGTGCTTGCATGAGTGTCGGATCGTAAATGGCACGACCGATTCATCAACGATGATCGTAGGCTAGATAGTCAGGTATTTTAGGTGAGGAGGGTTGCGTCAAATTTATGAGGAAGGAAATAAATCTAAAGCTTCTACCCCCTACCTTTACACCTACCTCATCCCACCCCACCTTACCCCACCACGTCGCCATTTCTCGCATGACCTCCGACCTCCTGTACAAACTAGTTCACACTACTAAACGTGGTAAAGCTCGTGTGAACGTGCGAACAACCTTCATGAGATAGAATGAGTTAGAAAGAATATGTGTGTGTGTGTGTGTTAGTGTTCTCTCTCACTCTCTCTTTCTCACTTACACCTATTGCATAGGGAGGGGTGAAGGTGGGGGGAAGGGGGAACGCTTATGAAACTAGTTTATTTAAGCTGTCGCTGACATTTGCGTACGGTACGGCCGACATATATTGGATCACCGTTCTTTGTTAAACACGACGCGAATTTCTCTCACACATGAACGTAACACATTCACATACATATACACTGTTTCATTTTCTCTATCTCTATCTCTTTCTATCTGTCTTTTAACGTCTCTAAAGTTACCTTATTCTTCCTCTTCGTTCAACACTTACTCATACATACATACATAATATATATACATATCATGCCAATATTTTACACATATATATATATATATTATAATATGTATATAGATCATAGTTATATTTCACATACATCTATATGATCACTACTACCATTTTACTTTCTAACTTTATTTTATATTAATAGATACACCTTTAGTGGGATATTTTATTAATAATAATAATAATAATAATAATAATAATAATAATAATAATAAAAATTTGTTATAACTTTATGAACAGATAATGCAATTAATAAAATAATAATAATACTCTGTTTATCTTCAGATATATATATATATATATATATATATATATATATATATATATATATATATATATATATACAGAATGGTGAGTAAAAGATAGAATAATGGGAAGAGAGAAAGGGGTTGAAAAGTGGGTGCCCTTTGGGTTTCTTGAATGGATAGTCAAGTGGAGGTGGAAGTTAAGTAACTTGATATTTTACGTTATCAATATTTATTAATTATATATATGTATATATTCATAGATATTTTGTAATGTTTCGATTATTAATAATAATGAATTTCTATTGGTAATTGGTATATTTGGTTGATCATAAAAATGGGTTTTCATTGATTATGAATTATTAATGAATATACATGAATGAATATATACGTGTTTAAATGTTGTTAATAATAATAATAATAACAATAATAATAATAATAATA